TGCTGGGCTAAGTAGTGGTAGGCCAGGGCCATGCTAGTCTCTGTATTTCTAGGGCAGTACTGGGCTAAGTAGTGGTATGCCAGGACCATGCTAGTCTCTGTATTTCAAGGGCAGTGCTGGAAAGACATTGACTTAATAGCATAAGGTCTGTTCGGCTGCCTTTGTGTCATAACTGTGACACTGCAGTGTTTTTTCGGTTTTCTGACAATGTCTTATCTACTCATTGTCAAGATCACTTTTATTCAGTTTATGATGGGGGGGGGATGTCATGTTCTACCAGTCCATCTGTCAAAATCAGGGGTGCCCTGAACAAGAGACACAAAAGAGAGTTGATCAGCCTCTGATTGTTCACCGGTATGCTCTCCACTTCACAAATCAAAGACTTAAATTAATATTTTTTTAAAGTGATTACCCTACCCTTGAAAGTACATTTGTGTAATCGATGAAGAGTTTAGGAAAACCCAATAAAACACAAAGCTATTTTCCCACCAGTTCGCCAACTTCCCCGTCCACAGAATGACACTAGAGTTTGCTCATCTCGTTCCATTTGGCAGAATTATTACAGCTACTTATGCCCAAATATGCACTTCATTCCGATTATCCTTCCCATTTAATCCAAACCATCTAGATCGACCATGGCCGCAAACTCCACCCCACCGCTTAGAAAAAAATCATTCCATCTACTTCATGCAGCTATGTTTTGGGGGACAATTTAAAAGTTTGCTTTTTCTCACATCTTGTTAATGTGCATATAAGGAATTCATTCACCAAGTGCACATGAATAAACATTGCATTCTGTAGCCATGTGAACCAAACCATCACTCCTTGTTAGATATGGGGATGGATGTGCGCGATAAACATAGCTCTGTGTCAACTACAAATAATGTGTTCTATGATTATTAGATTACAATAAATTATGGCGAATTCCAATAAGACAGGCTTTAAGTGTTGATACATTTGGAGTCACGCAGTTATCTCTGAGTTAATGTATCGCTTCGAGGCAATCATCACCGTAATCATTTTATTTTCGATAAAGTCTATTTTGGGAATTAGCCAGCGAGGGAATTTTCTCCCAATAAGGTTCGGTCAGTGGTGACTTGAGCCGGCTGTCTCCTTTTCCCTCTCCTTTACTAGTGTCATTGCGCTGCAGTAGCGAGGCTCCTCTTC